CGAAATCTCTTTTGCACTCAGCACCGTCTCACTTGAACCTCCAATAGAAGATCTGAACTCTGAAAACTCTCAATATGAAGCTGCAATGACTCTATCATTAAACTGTGTCCTGAACGGCTGACAAATGATCTTGTGCACCTCATTTGGGGCTTTTACGTGGGTAATTATTTCAGTATTTTCTGTGGGACGATATTACAGACAGAGGCGGATCCAGAATGTAAACTCTATGGGTTTAACCTTTAAGGTTCTTAGTATTGAACTCATTATATCTTTAAAGTTATGGGTTCATATCTACAATTCGTTGCGATTTTAGTAAACCTTTGCACATAAATTTGTGCTCCGCGTCGAAAGTTATAGGTTCAATTTAACCTGTTGATATAGGGCTACATCCGCCCCTGATTACAGGTGATAGTAGAGAGGTTGTTTGGTATTTATGTTTCGCCTGATAAAGGGGACTCCTGTGCTGATTATTGGTCAAAAGTGGAACCCCACATATTCTTTTCATCGCACTTCTTCCCTTAGCATAACATCTGGCAACCAAATGGATGTTGTTGGTGAAGTTGCTGATAAAGGAGCAAGCTGGTAAACCAACAAAATAGCAGCCATCAGGAAATTACCCAATATTACCTTATCAAAACTTTTACTAGTGATAGATTTCAACTTTGGTCGTGGGTTCCAGTTATATGAATACAAAATCCTTCAGGGGTTGACGAGTTGATGGGTTATACTATAAGATTCTTGAATTGTACTATTATTACGATGCATTAAAATTGACTCAATAATTTGCATTCTATTTGGAATTGATAATATTTGACTCAATATCTAACTGGTCGTCACTGGGATCTAGATGTAAGATTTAGACCGGAAGGGATCACTGATAACACCATAAATTTGGAGATTTGTAAGGGGTGGGTGAGGTTGTAGGGCCCATGCTAGCCCCTTTTCTGTCTGTGCTATCTCCAAGGCCGTAATAGGGTACCAAATACCAATGCTTTGTTTTGAGAGCTTAAAAGTTTAGTGCTTGCTCACAAGGCCTAAACTGAAAGTGCGAGTAGTCAACAAGGGAAAGGATGTTCGATAGCAAATACTTTGAGGTGCTCAAAACTGGAAAAAGGAGAAGCTGTTTCATTTGTTGGAACTATGAGATAGTATTTATCAAACTTCGATTATGTCACTCAGGCACCTAAGTGCATTAGATTGACTTAATATTTGGTGCTTTAGTGAGATGTAAATTTAAAGTGCTATCTCTTTTATATTAGACAATGTGAAATTTAAATAGATGATGACTATCAGGTCTTGAAGACATGTATGGAGAATGTGTGGCCGTAAGATTTAGAGAAGAGTATTTGCAGTTAATCGCTTGTTTTTTTTGCTAACCTCTCCAAGCACTTAATAGAGAACATTCATGATGTGTGCCGGCTATGGGGGCCTGGAGAAGTAGTGGGTCACGAGAAGCATGTGGACCATGACAACGAAATGTATTATAGAAGCTGCTAGAGAGGTGCTAGGGGTCACAAAAGGTTACTCAGGTGAACACAAAGGGGACTGATGGTGGAATGGAGAGGTCCAAGGAAAAGTGGAGGCCAAGAAGGCGGCGTATTTGAAGCTTGTGGAGAGCATAGACGAGGATGGGAAGATGATGAATAAGGAGCGGTATAAAAAGGCTAAGAAGGTGGTGAATTTAGCGGTTATGGCAGTCAAGACAACTTTTGGACGTTTGTATGCATAACTTGGGGTCAAAGGCGGAAACAAGAAGCTGTACAATATAGCCAAAGTAAGAGAGATGAAGGCACGTGATTTGGACCAAGTGAAGTGCATCGAAGACGAGGAAGGAGGTATTGGTGGAAGAGGCACATATTAGACGAAAATGGCAGACTTGCTTCCACAAACTCTTGAACGAAGAGGGGGACAAAAACATTGTGTTATGTGTTTTGGAGCACTCCGAGAGTTGTCGAGATTTTTGGTATTGTACGTGCATGAAGATTGAGGAAATTGAGGGGGCTATGCGTGAGATGAGCAGGGAAAGAGCGATCGGCCCAAATGATATCCCGTGAAGTTTTAGAAGAACGATGGCATAGCAGGCTTGGAATGGCTTACCAGGTTGTTTAGTGTTATTTTTAGAACAAAGAAGATGCCCAAGGAATAGAGGTAGAGTACGATGGTTCTGTTATACAAGAACAAGGGTGTCATCCAAAATTGCAACAACCCTAGGGATATCAAGCTGCTAAGTCACACTATGGAAGTGTGGGACATGGTGGCGGAAGTAAGGGTGAGGAGAAGTGTGTCTATTTCCGAGAATCAGTTTGGATTCATGCCGGGATGTTTGACTACAAAAGCCATTCACCTCGTCAGGATTGGTGGAACAATTTAGGGATATAAAGAGGGGCTTGCATATGATGCTTATTGACCTAGGAAAGCTTACGACAATATCTCAAGGGAGGTCCTTTGGAGATGTTTGGAGGCTAGCGGTGTTCCTGTTGCATACACTAGGGTGATTAAGGGCATGTGTGATGGAACTAAGACCTGGATGAGGGATGTGAGATAAGACTTGGAACACTTCCAGTTGTGATAGGGTTGTACCAGGGATAAGCTCTTAGCCCGTTTTTATTCGCCTTGACGATGGACGTACTAACACGTCATATTCAAGGGGAGGTGTCATGGTGCATGTTATTTGCAGATAACATAGTACTGATTAACAAGACACCAAGGCGGTGTTAACGCGAGGCTGAAGGTTTGGAAATAGACCCTGGAGTCAAAATGTTTCAAGTTGTGCAGGACCAAAACAAAATACTTGTGATGCAAGTTCAGTGATATGAGTCATGAAGCGGACGTGGAAGTGAAGCTTGACATTCAAGTCCTACCCAAGAAAGGAAGTTTCAAATACCTTGGCTTAATAATACAAGGTAATGAGGAGATTGACGAGGATGTCACAGATCGTATTGAAGTAGGGTGGATGAAATAGAGGTTGTCTGGTGTTTTGTGTGATAAGAATGCGCTGCCTAGACTTAAAGATAAGTTTTATAGAGTTGTAGTTAGACCGACTATGTTGTATGGGGTAGAGTATTGGCCAGTTAAGAACTACTATGTCCAGAAGATGAAAGTGGCATAAATGAGAATATTGAGATGGATGTGCGGCACACCAGGAGAGATAAAATTAGGAATAAAGTTATTCGGGACAAGGTTAGAGTGGCCCTCGTGAAGGCAAGATGCGAGAAGTGAGATTAAGATGATACATGCATGTGAAGAGGAGAGGCACAGATGATGCCGTGAGGATGTGTAAGAGGTTGGCCTTGGTGGGCCTGATGAGAGGTAAATGTAGGCGTAAGAAGTATTGAGGTGGGGTGAATAGACAGGACATGGAGCAACTTCAGCTTACCGATGACATGACCCTTGATAGAAGGATGTGGAGATCGAGAATTAGGGTAGAGGGTTAGTGGGTATTTGAGTATTTTTTTTTTGCCATACCAGTTGCACTAGTACTTAGTCTTGTTTTTCCCCAAGTTGCTCAGACACGGGTACGGATCTAGAGGTCGGATCCTTCGAGATGTAAATTCTAAGATTCAGAGATACAGATCCTAGTACGGATATGGGTACGGGGATCCGACTAAAAGTAATTCAAAAAAGAAGGGCAGCCCGGTGCACTAAGCTCCCGCTATGCGCGAGGTCCGGGAAGGGCCGGACCACAAGAGTCTATCGTATGTAGCCTTACCCTGTATTTTTGCAAGAGGCTGTTTCCACGGCTCAAACCCGTGACGACTAAAAATAATTCAAAAAATGAATATATAAAAATATCTCTAAGTTATGAGAAATTTTGTGAATACTTACGTATAACTTGTAAAGTGTGGATTTCTTTTTTATTCTTAAGTTGTAGATAAGTAAATGATTGGTTTCTTAAATAAGGTATGTTATTTTCTTCAAATTTACCCTAGTTTTGGTTATGATTTCGGGAAGCAAATTGTATCTCGTCTAGACTTTTTCCCTCTGTCATAGTTAAAGTACCCAAAATTATTTGACCAGATTCGGTACGGATCTCATACCCACACCCATACTAGTGTCGTGTCGATACGGGTGCGGCATCTAAACTGCCGTGTTGAAGCAACTTAGGTATTTCCTTGTTCGTAGAGTTATACTGCTACCTGTTATTTCTTTCGCTTCGGTTATCTTATCATATCACTGTTGTTACTGTGTTTCTTTTCATTTTTCATTGAGCCTTGGGTCTTCGGAAACAACCTCTCTACCTCCATGAAGTATGGGTAAGGTCTGCGTACACACTACCCTCTCCAGACCAACCTGTGGGATTTCACTGGGTATGTTGTTACGATGTGATGCTGAATATTTTAAGCCTTATTTTGGTTGATTTAGCATGAAACTAAAGATGAATCACCCGTACTTCATTTTCATGTGTGGTTATTGAATTACAAAACTTTTGGTGCAACTAGTGACTTTCTGTTTGTAATTTGCTGACATCATGTAGAACTTTGAAGTAAGTATTTTAGAGAAGGCTTGCTAACATTTGCTGATTAGTAGGGGCTTAGATTTCTGTTCATCTGGAATGTGAAGGTGAAGAATGGGTCAAACTGACGTGTTGAAGTACTAGAGTTGAAAGCCAATTCAATCTATTTACAGTGTACTATGTAACATCTTAATCGTGAACATTGTTGACCACCATCCCAAAGAACAAGAAATGATGGAAGCAAAGGAAAAAAGTAAAATCATTCATTTCCTTCTCCTAAATCTTTGTAACTCGGAATTGGAATTTCTGTGAAGGTTCCCTCCATAGCTTCCATCTTTCAGTAGTGCTGCAAAACAAGCGTGTGTCGTTCCCTGCACTCTCTTTCACTCCCTTGCAAATATATTATATCTTCAAAGCTTCATCAGTAAAGAAACGTCAAAGTTGTTGCTTTTCTTATAACTTCTAGATAAAGTTGTCTAACTTCTTGTAGTATAAATATGGTACTATCAAGATTAAAGATCATAAATCAAAGAGAAGATTATAAATATAAACACAAACTAGAGAACCTTCTGCTATATATTTGATGGAGATTGTGGTGTTAAGTTGTTTCAGGTGCTGTAGGAACAACACTTAAGTACATATCACACTTTCGGTTTCATATCTGGACATGAGAAAGGCTTGAAATTCTTGATGTTGATCCTGCGACACTAGGTCCGGAAAAAAATCCTGATATCAGGGAGCTGTACTACTATAGGATTCTTTTGGTCTAAATTGTTGTCCACAGTCCATCAAATTAGTTCATGTACTGATGGCCTGAAGCTGTAACAGATGGGCAAATAAAGAGTTCCATATGGGACGGATAAAACAACAATAGCAACTATGCCTCAATCCTTAACTAGTTAGGGTGGCAGCTATATGAATGAGGAGAATAATTACAGCTTTAGATTCAGATCAAGCTTATTGGGATTTGAGGCATGGTCTTTTGATTGTTGCTGATTTAGTTGAAAACTTCCTGGCCACTTCAGATCAAATGATCTGTTCATTTGATTGGTATGCGATGTAATTTGAAATCCTGCACCAGCCTCGCTGAACGTTGCCACAGTTGCACTTGCATCTCTGCCGGATTTATGCACAAGTGAGTGGGGAATCATACCAAGTGATCTGAACATGGGGTTATTGATTGGCAAAGCCATCATTGTTATCATCCTCTGGGACTGGGACTGGTACTGTCTTACTGCCCCTCTTTCTCTCTTGTGAGCATTCTGGTGGCCTCCCAACGCCTGTGAACTGTAGAATTTCCGCTTGCAGAAGTTACATGAAAAAACCTTGGCAGAAGTAGGTATATGTGACTCAGATTCTTTAGACGTTGAAGGCAAGTTCCTTCCTAAGCTCAAATTCAACCATTCTCCTTGATCAAGCACTGAAGTTGCCTGATTGCCATCTACAGCACTAATCATTCTGATCGCTGTTGTAATTGAGCAGAAGTTGCCTTTTCTTCTCCCACAATTTTCACTGAAGGGCCAGCTTGAAATATTGTGGATGTACAAAGATGCTTTATGTAGATACTACTCGAAAGGACCTCCAGACAGAGAGGCAAGGAATAAAAATGAGATCACAGGAGGTGAAGGTGAGATCAGAAAACTGTGATTTATCATATCTATTTTCACTGTCCCCTCCAGCTGATGCTTGGTATTTTAGGGGACAATGCTTAGATCATGTTTCAATGGAGTCGTTTTCAAGCGTAGACTAGATTCTCCACTGATTTCTCTCGTCTGTTCAACTAGTTCTACCTCTAATAGGTAACCCCACCTTGATGAGTATTATTGAATTCCTTTGATATATCAAACTTTAACTATCTTCAACTAAAATTACTAAAATAAACCAGATGGAGCTTTCTTATTAAAAAGAAATAAACAAGGTAGACAATCCAACTATGATTCCATTTTTAGTCTTTATCATAATCCTATAGTTTGGTTTGTCTTCTGCGGCTGCTGCATCTAATATTCGCTGTAGCATATAGGTATATTTGTTTATGCTTGTTTTCCGTAGCAGCATATGATTAGGATTTAGAAATCATACAAGCAAGTTTCAGGAGTTGACACATGACAAGGTTTTTAGCGGACCTGATTACCTGAAGCTTTTAGTTTAGATTTGTTATACTATCAAGAACCAGGTGGTTTCTAGGGGTAGAGATTTTTTACCCTATATCTAAGTATCATGCCAGGATGCTGAATTTGTTTTCATCATTTCCCCAGTTTATTCCTTGTGTTGGGTTAAAAACTTTCATATCAAGTAGGTGACAAGTATTATAAAGATGGAATGGAACCCAACTACAAAAACTTCTTTCCTGTATGAGAGAACGAGTGAATGAGAAGCTTTTGAACAGAATGTAGATGTTGGCGTGAGTGGTGGCAGAGTTGTACTACATTGATTGTGATTGATACAAATGTTGTGGAGTGGTAGGGTCCAAAACTTTTGAAATGATGGTAATAAAAATAGGAAAAAGATGAGAGAGAATCTTTGCCAACTTTGTTTAGTATTTTCTTCTGAAGGTAGAGTATCTATGTGGGTGTCCTCATGTTGGGGGTTCCTTTCCTGGCATGTTGTGGATATCATATATGAACAACAGAAAGCCTAGTTCGCCATGAAACCTGGTACTTATGTTGGTCTGAGGTAACATATACCTAGTGAAATAGTCTGGTTGCATTCAAATTGGCTTGGATACATCGTTTATCTATTTATCTATCTATTCTAGTACCGTTATTAAGCTGCAATAATTTGATTCAAAGAAAATATTAACCGAGTAGAAAAGTTTAAATTATTAAGCTGCTAGCGGATGTGATTCAAAGAAAATATAAACTGAGTATAAAAGTTTCAATATATCTACAGCAGGGCAAAGCTTCTGCCGCTGAAGCTTAAACGAGCATGTCTTGATTCAATCTATTTCCCTACCCTGCTAAAAAGCACATATTTCTTATCACTTGGAAATGTGCTCTCTATATAACGTAAGTTATTAAGGCTATAATCATTTCTATATTGTCCTGCTTCAAGGTTATCCATGTCTCTAGGTTTTCCAATGAAGAGGTCTAGACTTTTAGCTGATTAGTCAGTAGTGCCTATTTCTATCCCAGGTTACAACACAGCTTGGTGCACGAAGCATCCTGCACTCACGCAGGATTAGAAAAGAACCGTACCCCAAGAATATATGATATAGATAATCTACCCTGATACAAGTATCAATGGTTGACTCCACGCTCTCTAGAAAAATGGTAGAAACATTCTTATATACTACAAATCATTATATCAGGCCTTCTTTATTTTTATTTTCCGTGGGCGTTCGGTGGGGTGTGTGGAGGAGGGGGGCAAGGGTGGAGGTAGAAAATTCAGATATGCGTTTAGCCTTGAACCCAATAACTTTTATTCAAATAATATATTTATATTAAAAACTTTATTAAATATGTACACATTAAATTTTTAGAATTCAATTTTAACATTTGAAATCATCATTTTAAAATTAAAAATTCATAAAGTTGAAATTCTTCTGGGGGAGAGGTAATCTAGTCTTTCCTTTGGCTAAGGGTCATTGGCCTAAGTTGAGTTCCTTGAAACTTTTTTGCATACATCATTGGCTAAAAAGGGGAACCTATATTTAGCTTGGTTTCTATTACGATCTCCGCACACCGATTTAGTGCTTTCCAAGCTTGTAATGTGGTCCAAACTCCAAAGTACCACTTAGAGTTTATTCCTCGGTAGGGGATGGCAAACGTGCGGGTCGGGTCCGATATGTGACGAGTCGAAAATGGATAATGAAAAATAGAATTATCCGAACCGATTCATATTTAATACGGATAAAAAATGGGTTAACCGGCGGATAATATGGGTAATCGTATTATTCATGACTTCATAAATATGATCACTTTTGAGAGAATTCCTAGTCTCCCAAACTTGAAGAACCTCCAATTTGAGGTTTTACAAATATAAAAGTTAAACCCATTGGCTATCCATTTTCTAAATAGATAATATGATTTTTATCCATATTTGATCTATTTTTAAAAAGTTCATTATCCAACCCATTTTTTAATGAATAATGCGAATGATTAACTGTTTTCTTTTAACTATATTTTCACCCCTATTCCTCGACTTAAATAGTAAAAAGTGCAATGGGATTTGCCGACTTAAGGTGACATATTATCCAGATAAGGATAACAGAAGAAGATAAGAATGATAATGCCACTTGTCAATCAGATCCCTATCCTATTTCTTTGTGAAATAGGTTTTGGAGTAGTTCTCTTCGAAAGACTGTTCTGTGGATATGCTGGGAGGAAAAATCTCAAAAGAAAAAACTATTCCTATGTTACTTTTTGATCCGCAGTTATGGTAATGGAACATATTTGTAGCTATCTGATTAACTGCAGGGTGAAGAAAAAACATCCGTTTTCCTTTTTTGGATATAAGTTTATTTGAAAGGAAATCTTTCTTTGCTGTAGGTGTTCATACTAACCCAATGATGCATGGCACGTGTTGTTATGTGCACGTTTATCACCTGACAGTAGTTAACTATACATTTTCACCTCAACTTTAGCAATTGATCATGGTAAATTGACATGATTTTTTGTGTAAACACCAAGTGGGGTAATTTTTTGCTGAATCGATGGCTTTACATGGCCCCGGAGGACAAAAAGTATTATGTGATAAATGCCACTGATAGAAAAAGGATGAATTAGGTGGTAACTGTTTATAGAATAAAATATGATATGATACGTGGCTGACTAAAAGGAGGACACATGAAATTTAAGATGGGATGGTTGAAGATCGAACATAGTTACTGCGCTTGTCACCGGAACAGATAACGTTCATAAACGTGTATTAAATGCTCTGCGTCCGATAGCATTTACTAAGGAATATTCTACAACATTAAGAGCGATAGTCCGTTACAGAGAATTTGACATTTATACTCAACGTTACATCATCAATTACCCTCATAATTGGCATTAAAGGAGGGCATAATCCTAGGACCTTTTTCCTTAGGCATAACTATAAATAGTGAGCTCAGTTACCATTGTAAGGGACACGAACTTTCTGGCAAGAACATATATTATATTCTATACAAAGCTTTATACAATTTCACTTTCTTGCTTTTAGATCTTATCATTGCTGTGTTCGGAAACCTTGTTCATGGAATCATCATCTTTGCCATTTCATCTACATTCTAAGGCTAAATATTGTGTATTTCTTCAATTATTATATTATTTTAGGATCAAATTAGTTTACTTTTCTAGAAACCATGCATAAATTCAACTGTACAGTTTTACTGATAAACAGTTTGGCGCCCACCGTGGGGCCTAGACAGTCGTGCAATTAAATTGATCCTTGTCTTTTTTACTAACATTTTTTGACTATTTTGTCTTAGAAAAAATCGCAAAAAATGGCAGACAACACTGTTAACGATGCACGCAACCCTGAAATTCGAGGGGATCAGCCTCATTTCGAGGACTCGATCAGTGACACCCGCAATGAGGGGAATGACGCCACGCCGGTGCATGACCGACGGTACCCTCGACATGTTCGGGAAATAACCCCCGATGATGCTGACGAGGAACAAGTAGCGGATGCTGTGAGGATCCTGCAAGAGCAACAAGCAATCATTCTAGTGCATCTCACGCGGCAGGATCAAGTTATGACGGAACTAAATCAGATGCTATCAGGTGCTTCGAATAACGCAAACAGGCGCGATCCGGTTCCTCCTGTTGTTCCCGCAGACCAAACAACGCAGAGAGTCGACAACAATACTCCCAGGGGTGAAGTTGGCTCCGATAGGGCTGGGGGGAGCAGATCAGGTCTTAACAACGAGAACGATTCATTCAAGGATGAGCTTTTACGGTTCATGAGTGAAGTAAATACCCACATGGATCAAATCCCGAGCGCACCACCAGTATTGAAAGGCCCAAACTCGAAGAAGTATGTTCAATTACAGTACAAGCCAAGTGCGGCACCAGAACTAAACCCGAAGCGTTTCAAAATGCCTGAAGTTCCAAAATATGATGGAACTTCAGACCTGCAGGAACATATTACCACCTACACAACAACGGTGAAAGGAAATAATCTAGCTCCTTACGAAATTGAATCAGTGTTGCTAAAGAAATTCGACAAAACTCTCACGAGGGGAGCCTTAACGTGGTACTCATTACTGCCCGAGCATTCCATAGATTCTTTTGAAATGCTCGCAAATTCTTTTATTAAAGCTCATGCCGGGGCCAGAAAGGTGCAAGCCCGGAAGGCCAACATATTCAGAATCGCACAAGGAGAATCAGAATTATTACGAGAGTTTGTTACTCGGTACCAGAAAGAAAGAATGTTGCTCACGGTCGTCCCGGATAAATGGCCAGCTGAAGCATTCACCAGAGGATTGAATCCGAGAAGTTCAGACGCTTCACGAAAGCTGAAGGAGAGTCTGCTTGAGTTTCAAGCAACAACCTGGGCAGATGTTCACAACCGGTACGAGTCGAAGATAAGGATCGAAGATGACCAAGTCGGTTTTACATCATTGGCCAAAGGACGAGAGAAGAACAGAGAAAAATCAAAGGATGACTAAGACGAGGATATGCGGACTACGAGGGGTCGGTTTTTGCCCTACAAGCGTACCGAAGGCCGTGGAAGAAATTTCCGAGCAGCAAACAAGTTCACCGTTGACTAAGGGACTGATCGTGGTGGAAACAATAGATCACT